CCCCCCCCCTCACCCCTAGGAGCATTACGGCGTTGCCCCTCCGCTTCTGCCTTCACCTCTCCCTCCCCGAGGCGGAAAGTTTCTGCTCGCCCGCTGCTCTGCTCCCCGAAGGGCTGCCCTGCCCTTCCTGCTGCGCTGCCCCATCTCTGTAGCGCCGGCAGGAGGGAGGGCGCAGGGCTGCCGTCGATCTGCCCACCCTGCGGTGCAGCTCAAAGTTTGCCTGATGCCGCTCTCCGCTCCTGGTCCACCGGGTCTCATCTCTTACCTGCGCTCCTCTGCAAGCTGCCCGTCTCCTGTTGGCTTTGCGTGCAGTGCCTGGGGAGCAACCGCTGCTCCCGGCAGCACCTTCAGCTGGAGCAAAACCTTCCTTTTACTTGTTGTCTGCTGCCGCCTCCTCTCCTTCCCCTAGGTTTGTTAATAAATCTGTATGCGTATGTTCTGATTTGACCCACGGCCTCTCGGGAGGTCAAGGTATAAAGGAAGTAAGTTGTGAGTCTAAAGAAGCCCGCTGGGTCGTGGGATTGGGCTCCAAGTGGTGTTTGGATGAGTGAAGTAATTTAGAGATGCTAAAGGGGAGGGTCATAGGAATATTCCTTTGGGATGAATCACCTCGTCGTGCACAAAGTGCTGCTTTTTTCGATGACCTTGAGCGTGAAGACCGAAAAACTTGGGCTCATCCAAGCAGTCAGGAAGCAGATTGCTCCTTAAGCTTGGTGGAGATGCTGTGTCGCTGCTGATTTCGGAAGGGCAGCGGGTCGTGTGGTTTGGATTTGGAAGCGTAAGTTGTCTGTGTCGCTGCGTTGCTGCAGGTGTGAGCGAGGTAGGGCTGTGTGGGGGGCGCTGTGAAACGAAAATGCATTCAAGCAAAGGAACAGACTCCCAAATTCTGGCTGCATTGGGACTGTTCAGTAGTAGAAGAGCTGGATTGTTTGCATTGTGAATGCTGGCACTTTGTTCCTAGACTCTGAGCAAGTGTCTCAGGAAGATGAGAAGAGCTGGGGAAAGTGAGAGAATCTGGTAAAATCTGGTAACCCTCCCCTCCCAGCACCTCTTTGGAAGAGCACTTTTCCAGGAGCTTAAAGGGCTCTGAAGTTGCTGTCAGTGTAAATACAGCCCAGCAGATCTCAGGACCACAGCCTGCAGAAATCTGGGGCTTGTTAATTTTTGACTGCAGATTTTAAAGGCCAAGTGTTGCGAAAGTTTTGGGGTGGTTTTTTTTTTGTTTTGTTTTTCTTTTTGTCCCCTGGAGCTTTGCGTGGCCGGAGCAGGAGAGGCAGACGAGTGGACTGCAGCTCAACACAGGTGGGACGAACCTCCTTATGTTTGGGAAAAGGCTGTTGGGTGGACGAGGTGGCAGCTGTACGTGGGGTGTCCCAGTTGGGTTTGGCACAGTGAGGGTGAGGGAAGGCTGCCTCTGGTTTGAGGACCAAAAGAGAGACACGGAGGCGCCCTTGAAAGGTGGTGGTGAAACGTGCTGCAGCAGTCGTGTGATGCAGGAGCAGTAAAGGTTGTGGTGATCTGTGAGGAGCAGGAAGGTGAAGCTGCTTGTGTGATCATCACTGGTAGCGACAGCACAGGTTTATCCTCAGTTGTTCCTTGTCGTTGGACCTTGATCCCTTCTGTTCATGAGTCGTGATGGTTGTTTTTAATGATCAAATGCTAGAAAGCTTGCGTTGGGGCATCCCACTGTGTTAGATGCACTTGGCCAGTGCCTGGCTTTGGTAAGAGCATGTTTAAAGTCAGTTTTGCATTGGATATGTTACTTAAAACTCTGTCTTATGCCACTTTGTCAACCAGAGGGCTGATTTCATCCCCGACTCTGTTGACCTTTACCTTTGAAGAACTAAAGTTGAGATGTGTTGATCTCGTGTTGCGACCGGCCGAGCGCTGCTGGGATGCTCCACAGCACAGCTGTAATCCTGGTTGGGAGGGAGGTCAAACTGCTGCTGTGCTCTGACAGAGGAGGTGTGCTTCAGGATTCTGGAGCGAGCACAGTGTTGTGTGGAGCTGCTGGAGGGAAGGGAATCTGTCTCAAGGGGCAGAGGGTTTGGGGGTGTGCTGATGCTTCCTGTGACCGTACAAAGAATAGACAGGCACTGTGCTGATGGTTTTGCTGTAGCCTCTTCAGCAGCAAATGGGCTCCTTGGTGTGGGCTCTGTGTGTGTCTTGCTTTGCTGCGTGCATCCTTCGGGTCACCTGCTGAGCTTTCATGGTGGATATGTTGAATAGAAAGGAGGTGCTTAGAAGCTGGCATGACTAGAGCTAAGAGATCTGCTAAAAGTGCTCCCAGGGCTGTGGAAAGTGTTTGTCACTGGGGAGGTGACTGCCTGCTTTGCTCCTTGGTCTGCTGGGTGTCCAAAGATCCATAGAAAACTGAGCTGTGCTTTAAGAGGAGGGGCTGCCCAGACTGCCTGCTCTGATTTCGTAGCTCTGAGATGGGTGGAAAGCTTCCAGCAAGGTTGGGACACTGGGATCTACTGGAATATTGTCCCTCCCATCTCTTTATGCTGCGCTTCGTGCTGCTGGTGGATCGTTCTCCTGTCTGGAAAGAGTTCTCTCGCTGTCATCAGGCCCTGCTCACAGATTCCTTTAGGAGAGCGCTGTGGAAGCGCAGCGTGTGTCTGCTGTGTGAGGAGGAGGAGGAGGAGGGGAGCTGAGGTGTGAGACGTGGGGCGTTGTGTGGCAGGTAGCCCTGCCCTGCACTGCAGAGGGGTGGCAGGTCGTGCCCTGTTGTGTGTGTGCGGAGGAAGCCCTGCACAGGATTGGGGTGAGGCTGGTTGGTGGGGATCCAGGCTGGGAGGAGGGCGGGTGGAGGCCTGCTGGGGAGATGGCGGGGGGAACAGGGGTGGAGGATTGCAGATAGTGCTCATCCCTGCAGCCTGCCTGGGTGCAGAGCTGCTTTTCGTGTTGGCTGTCCTCTTCTGCTCGCAGAACTTAGCAGGAGAGGCTCTGGAAACCAGGTTATGTTCTGCTGGCAGTGCCCAGCAGCACGGCTTGTTCAGCATGGCTGGGATGGTTGTGGCAAACTGGCCATGAGAATCTGCTGGACTGTCCTGGTTTCCCATTTAACCTCTGTGCTGCAAGCAGCAGGACCCACCTGCCCTGCAGACCGTGCTCCTGGTTCTGCCTTGGCTTGGGCTGCATGAGAGAGGGAGACCTGCTTGTTTGCTGCTGCTCTTGTCCCCTTGTAGACTTGATCTCCACGAACAGGCAGAACAAAACCAATTCTAAGCCTGTGTGGCAAGCTAGAGAGCAGGTATCAAAATCTGACAGCTCAGTCATCCCACCCACTACAAGCATCAGTGTGAAATATTGATGAGGAAATGCACTCACAGTGGTTCCTCTTGCTATTAAGCCCGTGAGTGGAGCAACCATTACTTAACACAGGAGTGAATGATGCTGAGGATGCTCAGAACGTGAGGCCTCTTCCTGTGTGTGTGTGCCAGCCTTGCTGCTGCTGCTTCTGGAGTATGAGAAGCGTGGATTAAACACACGTGCGATGGCAGGTTGGACAGACACGTGGCTGCTGGTGGTCGGGGGCAGTTCCAGGCTGTGTGCTGGGTTCCTGGGAGCCCTGGTTCAATGCCCTTCACTCAGCAGGTGCTGGCATTCAGCAGAAGCTCAGCTCGTTGCAGCAGCATGCAATGGGGCTTCATGCAGCCACGAGAGCTGCTCACCAGCCTGCAAACAGCTCTGCTTCTTCCAACGTCGTGTTTGAGAGCTGCCAGTGAGAAGATCTGGCCCATGCTGTGCTCGTGTGCCATTCCTCTGCTGTCTGTAGGTTCAGTGATGCTCCTGCAGGGTCACAGGGCTGTTTGTCACCATGAAATGGTCTCATTTCAGTGAATCAGCATTTCCTTGTTCAAGAGCATTTTTGGCTTGTTCTGCTTGCCAGTGCTCGCTGAAAGAGGGTTCGGAACCCTTGGCTTATGTAGGGCAAAACGGGGTGGGAGCCTCGAATTTCTCCCAGCAACACCATTTAAAAAGATCCCCCTTTTTCTATAGCTGGTGCGATGGGGTGTTCTGGTGGTTGTGTCACCTGATGATGAGCTGTTAGGGCTTCTGAGGAGCGCTTGTGTTTGATTATTTTAACAGAATAGTTACTGTGATCGAATAGGGCAAATGAGAGAGGGGAGGTTGCCAGAAATGTCAGTGCTTTGTGTGTCTGTGGTGTAATGAGAGGAGTGAAATCGGACAGAAGCGGGAGAGGCTGTGGAGCAGCACTGGTGTGGACACGCAGGGTCTTTGCAGGCAGAGCAGTGTGGCTTTTCTAGGCTGGAGTTGTGCTTGCAGTCCAGAGAGGGGGCTCCTGAATTGGCTGTTCCTCAGCCCTGTGTTGCTTCTCCCCATCCTTGGGTTTCTCCTACAGCCTGCGTTCAGTTCTTGGCCACTGCTGGCTTGAGGGAAGGCAAGGAAGCGCCTGATGCTGTCTGTTGTTGTACATGAGCGGCTTGCTACGTTTGTCTGCCTGTCTTTATTCCCTCCCTCTTTTGTCCTGCAGGTAATTGATGCCCGTGGTGTGGATCTCTGCTCTGTTGGCATGCTCGGCTGCACAGCGGCTCTTCCAGTAGCTTCTCCTCATCCACCCCACTGCAAGAGGATGGCGAAAGCAAACATAACTCGAGACATCATCCACAGGCAGATCAAGGTGTGTGAGCTGCCTTCCTGGCGCTGGGTGCAGAGCGCTCAGCACTCAGCACTGCTGCTGGGCTGTGAGGCGCCCGTGTTGCCTTCACCTCTGAAGGGATCTCTGCTACTTGCATATTGCTAAGCTGCATAAGGAGCTTAGCAGAACAAACGTACAGGGCCTGTCCTCCTGCTTAATGAGGCGCTGGGGCACAGAATGGCATCACAGGGATACGGTTTTCCTCCCTAGAAGGAACGCACTGAGCTGGCTCAACATCAGCAGATCAGTTCCTTTAGAGCAGCACTGAAGACAGAGACCTGGCTACTTGTGTTTGGGCAACACAAAGGACCCTTAGCTAGCTTCCCTCATGGGTTTTTTGCCTGCTTCTTTGTGTTCTTTTCGTGTGATCTTGCCATCAAAGGTATTTTCTGACTGTAGTGAGGCTAATGATCTCTCCATCTCTGTCTCCTTTGCTTGCTGCCTTTCTTTTCCTTTAAAGAAGTGGTGTTTTTGCTTCCTCTGTGTAGGAAAAAACTTCAGCTGTGGTCAGATCAGTCATCTGATGGCTGCATTAGTGAAATATGTCCTAACGTGAAAGGACCAGCTACAGCAGACACAATAGGCAATTATTGCTTAGACTGGGAGGCCTTAAAGCGTTTGCAGCTTTTCTGGTAATCAGCATTCATGAAAATGGACTGCTGGTGACTGGAACGAGGCACCAGGAGCTTGCATCCCCCACTTCACTGTGCAGTTTGGTCCCAAACTTTGCATGACAAGCCTATAATTTAATCCACATGCAAAGATATATTGTGCTGCCTAACGAGGAGGGGATGGTTCTGTGTTAGCCTGGGACTTCTTCACACCGACGGCTCTGAAGGACTTTGATGTGTGACCTTGGGAAGGTTGCTAAGTCTGACAGTTCCTTGTAGAAGAAGCAATATCTGACTGCACAGAGCTCACAAAGCTCCTGAGGTTGCAGCAGCAAGGCAATTATAACTGCAGCACCTCGCTCTGGACCTGGGAGT